TGGCATATGGTTGGTATCTTCAGAAACTTTGTGCTAATTGATACATTTTATAGAGCTCTTTGCCGTAGATATTAAATCATCACAGTAATTTATCATAGATCCTTGAGGTGACAGTCAATTCACAGAAACATGATTTCTTAGCACCAATACTGTCTTTGCTTTTCAGATCTTTTAGAGCACTCTAATTCTGTGAGGCCCCAAAGTAAATTATATTTGACTGTGAATAATGACTTTTCAAAACTTTATGATGAAAGTTGATTTCAAAACAACCCTTAATTTGTTTTCAGATACTTGTCGCTATATATTTACAAAGACATGTATTTTTTCAATTTAAACCTTGTTCCCATTTTGTGAATCTCACTTTTTCTTTCCAAGTTGCTCTTGGTCTGTAAATTTAAAACGATAATAGAAATAGTGAATTGTAAAGACCCAATTTATGTTTATTGACTGAATTGTCAGAATCAAATTGTTTAGAAAATTGCAATTTATTGAAAACTAACTGGTTGCTGGATTTGGTTTTCTATTCAGCTTCATTTTCAATTTCTCCTTTGTCTGGCTAGATTTATAATAAAGTTAAAAAATTGATCATTTTATTGCATAAAATGTTAGCCACTAAAGGTCAAATTGGAAGCAGTGCAGAGAAAAAAAATACATTGAACACCTTCCAAAATCCATCTCTCTGGTTTTCTCTTTATGCTTGAATGCTGTGGTCTTTTTTTAGTTGCTTAAGTCTAGGAATCTCTTTCCAGACTTGGGACTTTGAACACACTGTTAATTTTCTGGGGCCAACTTCCCTTATTCCAACCTAGTATCAATGCCTTTCTCCCCCACTCCTAATTTATAGGAGTAAGCTCACATACTTCTTGACTAACTCCCCAAGAAGACTTCTAACTCCGTTCACTTGATCTTGTTCACCATCATATCCTTATGCAGGCACTGAGTAAGAGCTTAAGAAACAAGTGTCCTATCAGTGACAGGACCTTATATCTTTCCTGCTTCCAAAGCATCAAATGGCAAGTTCAAACATCTTTATTTTACTTATTGAGATGAAGGTTAAATGATTTGGGGAGTCCTTCCAATGCTCTCTCCAGTTTTTGCAACATAGTCTACCTTTTCCACGTAACGCTGAGCACTGAGGATTGAAAGACAGTCTTTTTCTGCTCCCAACCAAAGCTGTTAACAAACGTCCCTTCTTTGAACAGTATTTGCAAGAACTGCCTGTTGTATTTAATGATCGCCTTTAATATTCTCCCCCTGGTTCGGTTGTAAGTTCCGTCACTGCAACATGAACATTGTTAATGTGTTTGAAGGGGCTCACACATTCTTCCTATCAAGCATTTTATTCTTTGATAAGTTCTTAATTGTTGTTTC